GAAAACACCTGTGGATGTCACCGAGCAGCAATCAAGCATAATAAGCACCAATTAGGCAGCTTTAAAATGACTGTGATACTCAGCTCCTTCTAGACATTTACTGGTGTGGTTACAAACATGGTGAAGGCAAGAGAATGGTCCAGGAAGACAAGAGAAGAGGTGATTTCTCTTCACAGGAAGGGCAATGGCTATAAGAAGATTGCAAAGATGTTAAACATACCAAGAGACACCTTAGGAAGCATCATTCGCAAATTCAAGGCAAAGGGCACTGTTGAAACGCTACCTGGTCGTGGCAGAAAGAAGATGCTGACTTCGACTGCTGTGCGCTACCTGAAGCGTAGAGTGGAGAGAAGTCCCCGTGTGACTGCTGAGGAACTGAGAAAAGATTTGTCAGATGTGGGTACAGAAGTTTCAGCCCAGACAATAAGACGCACACTGCGTAATGAAGGCCTCCGTGCCAGAACTCCCAGGCGTACCCCCTTGCTGTCTCCAAAGAATAAGAAGAGTCGACTGCAGTATGCCAAAAGCCATGTGGACAAACCACAAAAGTTGTGGGATAGTGTTCTGTGGACTGATGAAACAAAATTAGAACTGTTTGGGCCCATGGATCAACGCTATGTTTGGAGGAGGAAGAACAAGGCCTATGATGAAAAGAACACCTTGCCTACTGTGAAGCATGGTGGAGGGTCAATCATGCTTTGGGGCTGTTTTGCTTCTGCAGGTACAGGGAAGCTTCAGCGTGTGCAAGGTACCATGAATTCTCTTCAGTACCAGGAGATATTGGATGGAAACGTGATGCAGTCCGTCACACACCTGAGGCTTGGGAGACGTTGGACCTTTCAACAGGACAATGATCCCAAGCATACCTCCAAGTCCACTAGAGCATGGTTGCAGAGGAAAGGCTGGAACATTTTGGAGTGGCCATCGCAGTCACCAGACTTAAATCCGATTGAGAACCTCTGGTGGGACTTAAAGAAAGCAGTTGCAGTGCGCAAGCCTAAGAATGTGACTGAACTGGAGGCTTTGCCCATGAAGAATGGGCGAAGATACCCGTAGATCGCTGCAAGACACTTGTGTCAAGCTATGCTTCACGTTTAAAAGCTGTTATAACTGTAAAAGGATGCTGTACTAAGTACTAAGATTGAATGTCACTTGGGGGTTGAATAAAACTGATAATGCTGTGAGCACAGAAAAGACATTTGTGGTTATTTCATTATAACTGTTATGTTATATTTGTCTGACCTACAAGTGCCTCTTTAATGTAAATGTAAGCAAGATGACTGAATGATCAAAAGCAATGTCAAACTGGCCAAAACACTCAATTTCAGTGGGGGTTGAATAATTTTGGCCACAACTGTACATTTTTCAGCAAATTATGCAGCTAAATATTTCATTTCCAAAGTACCATAATCTTTTTCTGGAATTACGTAGGTGTGGCCCTCTGGAAACATAACTAAGGTTTGGAATTGCTGCTTCCATAGATTTGGGTGAATCCTTGGGATTTGTGGGGTTCATGGATCAGACTGTTGCCTAGAAATATTTTGCTGATTTGCCTCAAGAAATAAGGAACAACTTCCTTCTATGAACACATGGACTGACAGCAACTATATTGTCAGTGTGTGTTGGAAGTATTATAAAGAGCTGACAATTCTGTGTGGGGGGAATGGAATGCTTTCACTATGTAACCACATCCAGAGACTGCTTATATGGCCTCATGCACACAGGCCACTTACTGCTTCCAAACAGCCCTCCATGTTATCCTATGTGTCCGTGCACACATAGACTTTTAGAAGCTTTTAGTAGCAGTAGTGTTTACCAGTAGAAAGAAAAAACCCAGGGCCAGTGCATCCAGGGACAGCAGTGTTTTGGTAGAAAAAAATGCTTGACATGTGGAAAAACTGCTAAACGCATCTAAATGTGTGTTAAAGCTAGGCGCGTTTAGGGCTGGAGCATTATTTCATTTTAATGGCCTGAATAAATGATTTTTCTGGCCAATGAAATGCATTGACATCCAAGCACTTGATGCTTGTAAACGTGCCTAAATGGCCTAAATGCTTGTAAAAGCGTTAGAAAAGCATTTTTAACACGTCCTGTGTGCATGAGGCCCTATATGTGTACATTGTAGAGGCTTTACACAAAGTTACATCTGCAGTTAAATCATTAGTTGGTTGTTTAGTGATAGTTATAACTATTGTGTCCGGTCATTCCATGGATGTGCTGCCACCTACTGATAACATGAAGAAGGGATATTCTACTTCTTGTTACAGGAAAGATATATTCTCCATCAGTGTGTGTCCTGCACAGTAATACACGGCAGTGTCTTCTATTTTCATGTTGTCCGTTTTCAGAGTCAGCTTGTTATTGTTATTATCTCTGGTGGCTGTGAATCTCCCTTTAACAGCATCATTATAGCTTGTACCCCCCACTGCTACCAATATAACACAACCATTGTAACTTTCCATCAGAGAACTGTCTGATCCAGTGCATAGTGTTGCCACCAAAGGTGAATCCTCCTGAACCCTGACAGGTCAGTGTATGGGAGTTCCCCCGGCTTTATCACGGCTGAATCAGACTGGACAAGTTGGTTAGAAGACAGGACACCTGGAAAATATACAGAGACAATAGGAAATAGTATTAGAACTAATACATACACTGAGATCTATTAGGAGGATTATGTCATCTGAGGGATCCTGTCCTATGGAGTCTCACCTGACAGCCATGATAATGATATAAGCAGGCCTATTAGGATCTTCATTATTCCTCTGTTTAATCTGTATGTATACACTTCAGAAATAACCTGTAAAGGGTCTTCTCTATCTTTATAGTGTATGAGAGATTTCATGGTAGGAAGTGATGTCATGTCATTTGCATAGTATACACAATATCTATATGCTAGCCTTTAGATATTTGATAGACACAGGAAAATAGTCAGGTGTGAGCAATTATTTCAGGTTGGACATCAAAGTCACATGACAAATCACACCCCATTCCTTTCAATGACATCCTTCAAATTAGTGCAACTTAAAGTTGCAGAGATTTTGGAGAGGTGCCTGCACTGCTTGTCTGCGACTTTTGATGCAACTTTGATCCAAAGAATGTAAAGTCGGATCAAAATAGCACCACAAGTCACATCAAAGTCATACTGTTTGGACTTTGGAAACACGCTAATGTAAATGGAGCCTTAAAGTGTGTTTAACCACTTGCCTACCGGGGACTTTCACCCCCTTTCTGCCCAGGCTAATTTTCAGCTTTCAGTGCTGTCGTACTTTGAATATAAATTGTGCAGTCATGCAACACTGCACCCATAGAAAATTGTTATCATTTTTTTGAGACAAATAAAGCTTAATTCTGGCTTTTTTATGTTTTGCTAAACAAACTAAAAAATTAAAATTAATGAAAACAAAACAAACGTTTTTCTTAATTTCTGTTAAAAAATGTTGTAAATAAGTAATTTTTTTCTCCTTAACTGATGTGCTCTGATCAGGCTGCACTGATGAGCACTGATAGGCTGCACTGAGAGGCTGCACTGATAGACAACACTGATAAGTGGCACTGATAGGTACTGACAAGCATCATTGATGGACACTGAAAGGCAGCACTGATGGGCACTGGTAGGTGGCACTGATGGGCACTGATAGGTGGCACTGATGAGGAAGCACTAATAGGTGGCATTGAAGTGCATTGACAGGCATCACTGATGGGCACTGAAAGGAAGCACTCATATATGGCACTGATAGGTGGCACTGATAGGTGGCACTGACTGGAACTTTCAGGCGGCACTGATTAGAACTGTTATGCAGCACTTATGGGCACTGATGAGGTGGCAGTGATGGGCACTGATAGGCTGCACTGACTGGCACTTATAGGTGGAACTGATGGGCACTGATAGGCAGCACTGATGGGCACTGATAAGCAGCACTGACTGGCACTGATAGGTGGCATTGAAAGGCAGCTCTGATGGGCACTGAAATGTGGCGTTGATGTGCACTGATGGGCACTGATATGTGGCATTGATGTGCACTGGTTTGTGGCATTGATGGGCACTGACAGGTGGATTTTATGGGCACTGAAAGGCAGCACTGATGGGGCTGCACTGATTATCAGTGTAGATGTGCCCTTTGAGAAATGCTGCTTACCGGCTCTCCTCTTCTCATGCGCTGTCAGCATGAGGAAAGGAGAGACGATTACCCGCATTTCCTATTTATATGTGATCAGCTGTGATTGGACACATCTGATCACATGATGGAGCCTGTGTCATCTGCTCCTTACTGTGATCGGTGATCTGCTGTGTCCCGGGGACATCGCTCACCACCAATCGCCGTGCCGTGTGCCCCTGGGGGAGCGCAGGTGCAGCTAGAGTGGGAGGACTTCATATGAAGAACGAGAGAGCCCCCGTCCGTCCATCATTTCCTTATATGGCGGGTGGGAGGCGGTTAAACACTAATATTGATTTTCACTTATTTACTCCCTTTGCTCTGGTAATTATATCTTAACCACCTCCCGCCCGCTATATAGTAATATGATGAACGCAATGCGGTTTCTCTCGTTCTGGGAGGATGTCATATGATGTCCTTCCATTCTCACTGCGCATGCACGGCTCAGGGAGCATGCAGCGCTGCGATCGGCGGTGCGCTGTGTCCCTCGGATACAGCGGATCACCGATCACGGAAAGAGCCGAAGATGTCGGCTCAGTCATGTGATCAGCTGTGTCCAATCACAGCTGATCACATGTAAACAGGGAGATGCCGGTTATCGGCATGTCTCTCCTCTCAAGCTGTCACGCTGACAGCTCGAGAGGAGAGCCGGTAATCGGCTTTCCGCGCGGAGGGTACATGTACGCTGATTATCAGGGCACTGATGATCAGTGTGCCCTGATGATCAGTGTAGCCCCAGCAATGCCTTGTGTCAGTGTCCATCAGTGTCTTGTGTCAGTGCTCATCAGAGCCTCGTGCCAGTGCCACATCAATGCCACATATCAGTGTGCCTGCCAGTGCACATCAATGCCACATATCAGTGCCCATCTGAGCTGCTTTTCAGTGTCACCCATCAGTTCCAGTCAGTGCCACCTATCAGTGCTGCCGATCAGTGCCACCTATCAGTTCCAGTCAGTGCTGCCTATCAGTGCACATCAGTGCCACCTATTAGTGCGCATCAGTGCTGCCTATCAGTGCCTGTCAGTGCTGCCTATCAGTGCCAGTCAGTGCTGCCTATCAGTGCCACCTAACAGTGCCAGTCAGTGCTGCCTATCAGTGCCAATCAGTGCCATGTATCAGTGCTGCCTTTCAGTGCCCATCAGTGATGCCTGTCAATGCCCACCAGTGCCACCTACTAGTGCCTTCTCGTCAGTGTCCATCTGTGCCTATCACTGCAGCCTCATTAGCACACATCAGTGAAGGAGAAAAATCACTTATTTACAATATTTTATAACAAAAACTAAGAAACAACTTTTTTCTCAAAATTTTTCAGTGGTTTTTGGTTTGTTTAAGAAAAAATAAAAAACCCAGAGGTGATTAAATACCACCAAAATAAAGCTCTATCTGTCACAAAAAAAATGATAAAAATTTCATATGGGTACAGTGTTGCATGATCGCGCAATTGACATTCAAAGTGTGACAGCGCTGAAAGCTGGAAATTGGCCTGGGCAGGAAGGGGGTATAAGTGCCCGGTAGGCTAGCGGATACAATGTTTCCATTATATCTGTGCAATAAGTGAGAAAATACCTATTGATTGTGTCAGAAATTCAGAGTTGCCCTGTCCTGTCCACACTTCCTTTGTTGTCTCCAGGGACCTGATTATCCCTTCCAGTTCCTTTTTTTGGTCTACAGACCAAAGTGTAGATGTTATGTATAAAAAGAGCCAGGGGTGTGAGTCAGTAGTTTAGCAAATTGAGAACTGGGCAGGGCTGACACCACTCAGTCCACAAAAATGCTGTGTATTTTCAGCCCACAATAGGAAATTAAGACCAAGGTGCAGCCCTGGCAGATCAATGCATGTTTATTTTATACTTGAAGGTCTTTAAAGATATAAAATGTAGTGAGCTGTACTTGTGATGCAGAGATTTTATTATTATTATACAGGATTTATGTAGTGCCAACAGCGCTTTACAAAAATGAAGGTAGATATTACAGTTACAATACAATTTGGTAGAAGAGGAAACAGAGGGCCCTGTTCGGTAGAGCTTACAATCTAGGAGGATATACTGCATATGTTCTTTTTTTGTCAGATTTTTATTGCTGGTTATGTCCCTGCTGGGGAGATTCACCCTCTATCTGTCCTGGTGACAATTGTTTAGGTTGGATTCAGTATTTGTGGTCTGTTAAAGTGTGTTCATGTGTGTAAAATTTGCATGTTAACATGCATTGCAGTATGGCAACCTATACATTTTGAATGGGCCTCCAATGTATGACAGTAGACCGAAAAACATGCATTCCCTTTTCCTAAACCCAGGGCACCAGAAATCATGGCATGTGGATTGTGATGCGCTTCAGCATGTGTGTGTTACTCACTATTGTAATATGGTGCTGGGGTGCCATTCAAAATAAATGGCATATGAATGTACATATACAGGCAGTCCCTGGGTTACAAACAAGATAAGTTCTGTAGGTTTGTTCTTAGGTTTTCTGTTCAAATAGTGAGAATGGGTGCAGGATGAAGATCCCCGGCCTGCTTTTACAGGGAGGGGGTGATTGGGGAGTGGCTGATGGAGCGAGAACATGTTACATGCTCCACACCCTAATGGGTGGAACATGTAACATGTTCCCAAAGGTGAACTTATCCATTAACCGCTTCCGCACCCCCCTATAGCAGAAATACTGTTACAGGGCAGCATGGGTGTGCAAAATCACATATATATACATGACTTTGCAGTGCTCTGGTTTCCATGCCGCCATTCGTGACCTCAACTGCCAATCACCGGGTCCCCATCCGGTGATTCCTCGCCGGCACCCGGCGATCTCCAAGGATTTCAGGCAGGGTAGAGACCTATATGTAAACAATACAGATCTCTCCCCCTGTCAGCTCATGCACACTGCTTTGTATGGCTCTGCATAGCAGATCCATACAAAGAAGTGTGCTTACAGTGAAACACAGCACACAGCCTCATAGTAAAACACACACAGCACACAGTTAACCCTTTAATTGCCCCACATGTTAACTGTTAAATCTAAATTATGATTCGGCATTTATATTGATGGCAAGCTTGCAAAATATTTGGTTTTTATGATTAGTCATAATTAATATTAATATGTGTGAATGGTCTTTGACAAATGGTAGTATTTACTATTCTTCAATTATAGCTGAGACCAAAAGATATACAAGTTAAGCTGAAATAGTATATACTAGTTGAAGGTTGAGTATACTATATTTAGGCATAAAAGTATTTGGTAGTTATGTCAAGGTTATTAGAAGTGACTTACTATTACATTACGTATTTTAATGGTATCTGTGTATATTTAGTATACGTTTCTAACATTGATACATTTACGTCATTAGCTTATAATATTATGTACATCAGCATACATATGTTCCTGTCCATCAAAGACATTATGTGAGTGTCGTCCCCTCCCTTCTATGCCATACAAGGTATTAAGATGACACACTCATGCTGCATAAAGGGGGCCTTGAGGGACAGAGACACACACTTACACGCTACATAACTCTTGCATACACACGTCTGAGATGCTGGAACAGGTGCTGCAAGACAAGAGATCATCATTAATGTCACTTCCGTCTTCTCTGTCGGACTTTGAGTTGGACAAGGACATGAGAATCGCACATGGCAAGGACAGCCATGACAGATAATGGTGACTTTGTTTTAAACGTTTGCTTGTCATTTTTACAGTAGTTTTTATCTACATGGAACTGTTCATAATACGCTTTACATTGTTATTTTTACACCATTGTGTGATAGAATAAAATCACACTTCATTTTTTATTTCAATGGCTCTTTCATTCATAATCGCCTCAAGACACTAGAAGAAGTATTATATGTGTCTAAAAATCCAACATTAACCTCTTCCTGGCCTGTGCCATTAGTATAGATTAGAGGTGATCAAATACCACCAAAAGAAAGCTATATTTGTGGGAAATAAATGACATAAATGTCATTTATGTACAGCATTACAAAGGGCTTGGCCAGGTCCTCCATTATTTTGAGGTCTTGGACATGGCAAAGCCATTGCTGAATTGTCAGTGGGGTTGGGGACTTCCAGAGTGCTGCGATATAGGACGTGTTTCTGTGAAGTTCTCCAAACTTTACTCCAACCAAACCCAGGACAATTCTGTCCATCACTAAACATAACTTACATGTATTTGTTTGTTTTCTAATCCCTTCTCAGAGCTGTCTCAGTTTTGTCAAGCATCGTATTAGCACTGCTAGTTCTTTTCTTGGGACTAGAGATCAATTAGTTCTTGTGTTTTGTACATGAGATAAAAGTGTATGATTCCGTAGTCTAGCAAAGGAAAATGTGTCAGGGGAGACACAACACAGTCCACAAAAATGCTATTTGCTGTCAGCTCATGACAGGAAATTAAAGTGTAGCTGAAGGCATTTTTATAAATTTAGATACAGTGTTGAGGGAATAGAACCACTGTCAGGATTTCCTTGTTTTCTGTGTTCCCATTAGGGACTTTTCTCTAACTATCCTGATTGGCAATGACATGGGAATGAATGAGGGAAAACCTACAATTTTGAGTTTCCACTAGAATGGGATTAAAGAGGGATTTTTCCAATGGAGAAATGTGTTCCTGTGACAAGAGGGGGACTTCCCTTATGTTGGAAAAGTGAATGGAAATCTTTCTCTTGAAACATTGATGAAAAAAAGAAAAAATACAAAGAGTTTTCATCCTTCCCTATTCTATCCTAAATAAAAAAACAGTTTCCGGCGATGGAGTGTGCATGCGTGCGGCCGGTGGGACGGACATGTCCCGATGAGGCTCCGTCTCCCCCGTCGGGTGACAGCGCCAAGGAGCAGCGGGTCCCAGCCCGCAATACAGCCTGGGGGGATCCGATCCCCGAGGCAACCCTTCCAGGGTCTGATCCACCCTGGTCTATGGCGGATCCTCCGCAGCAGGTCGGAGAAATCCGACAGGGGACTCTGCCCCCATTGTGAGCCGTACACAGGCCCGCCCACCGCTGTCTACACAGCACCGAGGCTGAGGAGAGAGAGCAGGGGGGCTGAGATCAGCATAACAGCCCCCCCCCTGACAAGCAGCAAAATGGTTAAGGGGGCACCCCAGCACCAGGTCCCCCCTTCAACCAAAACAATCAAAGAGGCCCTGGCAAAGGCCTCCACAAAGATGGCCACCGCCCCAGCTTGTGGAAGCAAGCAGGCGGCAGGGGCATATGCAGCCCTGCAGGATCCGCAGCCTAGCCATCCCTGCACGTCTGAGGGTGAGTCTGACACTGAAACAGATGTCCCTGCACAAGCCCTGACGCCTGACCTTACACCCCCTGACCTATTATCACGCTTTGAAAAAATGCTACACAAAGCTTTGAAGCAAACCTCGACCGCATCACTGCCACGCTATCTAGGGAAATCCGTGAGCTAGGACAACGCACTGCAGACCTAGAACAGAGGGTAGATGGTCTTGACGCCTCGCTTCAGACGCATACGGATGACCTTGATCTCCTGTGTGACGAAAACGCAACATTATTAACACGACTGGAGGACTTTGAAAAAACGAGCACGGCGCTTAAACCTATGTATCCGTGGCCTTTTGGAAAACGATCGTCGATGTCCAATCAACGGTAACAGCTCTGTTCCAAGAGCTTGCCCCAGCTATCCCAATCGAAAGATTAGAATTGGATAGAGTTCACAGGGCGTTAGCATCATGACGCACGGACAGTCCACCACGCGACATTATAGCCAAGCTCCACTTTTTCCGTACCAAGGAGCAACTCCTACAAGCTGCTCGTAATGCAGAATCTCTACAGTTCCAGGGTCATACCTACCAATTATTCCAAGATCTATGCCCCACAACTGTCTCCAAGCGCAGGGCTATGAAACCTCACCTACAAGTACTTCAACAACACGCTATACCATATTGGTATAGCTTCCCCTTTGCAGTTGCGATACCAGACCCGAGATTTCACCTGCAAGACTCCAGAGGACCTTTTAGACACCTTGCAGATCCTACAACTACATCCCCCAGCGACGCCTCCAGAAAGCGCCAAGCGGAGGTCCACATCCTGCTCGCCGCGGAAGTCCTTCCCCGCACGTACAACTGAAGGTCAACTCAGCCTCCACAAAAGAGGGCGTTTATCGTCTCTGTGCCTTTCTTCGCAAGATACCATGGACTGAACTATGTCCCACGCTTATCTTTTTTTTTTCCTTTTTTTGCCACACACACCAAACGGTGTTACTCTTTTGACTATCATCGCGGTTAATACCATGATATCCTTTCTCCCTCTACCTGTTAAATTTTGGTTGCCCCGCAACCTGGGGGGATTGTTTTGCACCCCCCCCTCCTGGGCTCCATTTTAG